TCTTAGAGGAATAACAATTTCTTTGAATATATTTATAAATAGAGTAGCTATTACCGCGTGTTATAAATAACATCAGTTCGAAATAACTTTCATCCTTTTCCACAACCTAAAGTGAATCGAAACTATAACTTTGGTTATGTAAAAACTACAAGGTAAAAGAAAGAATAAAAAAAAAAAAAAAAGAAAATTGGAAGAAAGAAAAAGTTGATTTAAATTCAATCTTAACAACAACAAAACAACAAAATCATAAAAGTGTTAATTGTTATTGTCAGATTTCTAGTTATGAGTTCGTTGACTCGCTACTAGGTAAAGTTGACTGAATTTATATTTGAGTGAACAAAATTTTCGAGTGCAAATTCGATCTAAATCGGCGACGTTGGCGTCGCGACAGTTAATGAAGCGTCTTGAAAACCTTCATTATATTTATACATATTAACCATAGATACCTATATAACAAATGCGACATTCCGATTTTTACACGTTAATCACACATTTTTTAATTCTATGATTGTTCGATGTCATGATCGAGAATACACTTATTTAATTTCAATTGTGAAGAATATATTATTTGAAATAGTATTTCAAATAGAAATTGTTCAAATATTATTCAACTCTGACGCCAACACACAAGGCACGTTCCTAAAGCCGATTTTATTTATAGTAACAACCTGAATCCCATGTTCTATCTCTTTCCACGTGCTTGCATGAAGAAGATCACACGAGTTAATCGAAGCCAGAGATTCTTCCGTTTATATTTTATGAATCTGACTTCTGCTATTATTAGTTATTATTTCTTTTTTTTTTTTTAACTCGATGATAAATATTTATAGGTCGTTAAATTGAAAGAAATGACTACGAAATACAAGGGATTGGTGAAATAATGGAGAAATTGGATTTATCAAAAAAACGAATTTACTTTTCGTACAACCTAATTACGGTAAAAATTTGGTAAGAACGTTATCACCAAAATTACTTGAAAGTTTTATCGTGATATTAACGACGTCAGTTGTAGAAGATCCATTTCATTTGGTAGTAGGCACTGCGGAGTAGAAATGCTTCCCCTTAATTAAGTGCCTTCTATGCAGGAATGAAAGGAGCTAGCGATATACATTACGACTCCGTTATTAATTCAACGATCTATGTATGTCTATATACGTATATATTATACATACGTGTTCATGTTTCATGTATAAAGAGTATAATGTGTGTAATGCATATATAGGAATAGGTTAGATAAGTTCCTATTTGTTCTCTTCTCTATGTTACCATCTTTCTCTTCCTCGTGTATGTTTTACTTACAAGGGGAGTGCAAGGTCTTGTCCTCACGGATTTTGTTCAAATTTTGTAGGATAATAAATTTTGCTTCCCTGTTTAGGAATATATATGTTTATAGGGGCCACAACTCAATAATTTTTTAGATATTTGCAAATAAAAATGATAAATAAAGATGCCGTTTAATCCTTAAATTCATTTCTCAATTCTYAATTCTCAAACTCAAAAATAATATTTATATAATATTATTTTTCAATATTATATGAATATTATATTAAAATTAGTGATAAAATTTACAAACATGAAAGATATGAAGAGGTGTTCTCATAAGTATCGCTGTAATGTTAAAAAATTGATTTTACAAAATTAACTAGTTGTTTGCGATAGAATATTATTCAAATATAATTATTATTGTTAAAATTAAATATTAGTTTATTATTTTTATTTGTAAAGAATTTTTTTGTATATTCGACAATTTTAATGTTAATATTAGCATACTTAGATAATGGAATTAATTGTAAGATATGAGAGTAACTCAATCATTTTCGCATGAATTTCTTTTTTTGTAGGCAAGTATGATTATTGTGAATTGGTGGGCGACATAGTTATTATTATAATAAAAATACCTACCACTAATGATAAATAGACACATCAATGACGTTTAGGGTTGTAAAGAATTCGTAGAATTCGAAGTTTCGTACGAGAGAAACTGACATATGTAAAATGACTCAGTTGTCTTAGAAAAGTGGCAGGAACAAAGAAAGAAAAGAGAGACACACATATTCATGGAATTAGCACAATGTCACGTTCCGTTTTTAAAACTCATGCTTGGAAATCTTTCTTTAGTTTTTCTTGAACAAGAAAGTCATCGATATCAAAATTATTATTTGATGAAATAAAATAAAATCAAATTTACTCGTTGCTAAAAATTTTGTATCCAATTTTATTAAAAGAATTATAGAATTTTTTTTATTTTCTATAATTGTTCTTGTTCTTTCTTCGTTTAACACCAATAAAATTATACAAAGCAATTAAATTATTGACCGTTAAACGAATATGAAGACTAGCAAAATATAATTTACCTGAAAATTTACATTGTACAAGTAAATATTTAGTTACTTATTTATTTTTTGTAATTTGTTAATTATTTTTTCCACCTCTTGTTGAAACAAATCGAGTTATATAAGAGAATGTAGTTGTTGGTCGTTAAACGAATACGGAGACTGAAAAATAGCAACAATGTCGTTGTGACAATTCATCAACACGATCGAAGGCTGCAGGAAGAGAGCGTAACCGTAGCAGAGGATGTAACATTGAACTTAACTCGGTAATAACCTCCGGTTAATGGTCAAACCAAATGTGAAGTTGAGCGTTGTGAGTTTTGAAGTATGTATTATCACTTCAAGATATCAACGTATCTACTTCCTACGTGTGTTTTAGCATTTATGTCATAATTTATATAATTATGAAATTTCAAACTAACCTCGTAATAAATTTTCGGTTCAAAGGAATTTCACTTGGAAACAATTCGAATAGTTCTATGCAACATAATGATCCATAAATATACGAGTCTTCAGAGTGCTGAATGGTACATAAAATAATGTAGAATACTTGATATTTATAATGAAGAAACACTCGTATTTCTTGGTGATTTTTGTCTCGGGTGAACAAGAATCAGTGCCAGAAGAGAGTTGGAAGAGTGATCAAATTTTTCATTATTATGAATGATGATGGCCGACGGCAAAAGAACAATGATGAGAGTAATTTACAAAATCATTTTGCTCAATTTTTCACTTATTGTTGGTTCATATAAATAAAAATATATATTTTAGTTTTTTTTTTTTTTTCAAAAATACTTGCTCGTAGATAAATCCTTTGTTAATTGGTTCCCTCTCATTCTATTACTCACTCATTACTGTGTCTTCGTGTTGCACATAAAGAAAATAGAGAGAGGAAAATAAATCGTTTATGCTATCGAACGGGTTTTATATATCACGTTTATCAACCATTTGATTTTCAGCGTTAATTTCTTTTTTTTTTTTCTCCACTTTCGTTTACATTTGAAACGAGCCACGAATCATGAAACTTCATCGAGCTGAGCATATCGGCCACTTCTGTTTATTTTTCCGAGAGAGCATGAACTTCCGTTTCCGTCGATCGTATGCCAAGAAACTCAGATGTATATCCATCAACCTTTTGCTTCGAAATAAAATCCTTTTTATCGATATTCAATTTAATGCATGTACGATTGTTTCCTATTTCCAATCAAATGAATTATAAACGAATAAAATTGCAATTTTTTTTTGCATATAATATTAGAAGCATTTCTAGTCAACTTGTTATGAAGGTATTAATTAACATAAATAAGTAATTTAATGCATATTTTGAATTCATTTTTTATAAACCTATTTATTTTRAATAAATAAATTTATAATAAAATTTGTAACTTTTCTTGTAGTTTTAATCAACATGGAAAAAAGGTGCTAATTAATACAGATAATAAGTGAATTGAAAAATATTTGTTTTAATTTATGTTATTATATCTATCTATTAATATTCAACGAATAGATTTGTCACTAACCGTAATTATTTTTATGGGATTGATTAGCTCGTTAAAACGATACGAAATTGACGAGAATAACGATTTAATTGTTATTATTGTATTAAACGATGGTTTGGATAGTTTGTTTGGTATAGAAACAGGAACTTCCAATTAACGAATGGAATCGCTTAATCTTTGTAATAGCTCGATATTCCGATCGCAAGGTTTTAATCAATTATTGTCTTTGACATTCGGATATATTGTCGTTTGCAGAATGACAGATAATCATTTATCTTCTTGTCTTTAAAGATTTATAGATTAATCCGTTCGATAAATTTTGTCTTTTGATATTAACATGTAAATTATATCTGTTGCTATTAATATTAATATTTCTTTTGTTATTTTCTTTTATAATTTTGTTATTATTATCGTTAATATTATCGAAAGAAGTTATCGAAAAATATGTTTAAACATGAAAGATAATAAAAAAAAAAAAGAAAAACGCGATTCGTACGTTTGTTTTGCTAGAAAATTTTTCGTTATTTTTTTTATTGTTTTGTTAGAATTTCATATTTTTTTTTACTTTCGATAAAACAAAAATTTGTATTCGACGACAAACAGGGCGAAAGGAAAAATTTCGTTTCCAAATAAAAAGTACCAATGGAAAACGAAAGGGTTCGTTAATTATGAAAGATTTCAAAGCACCTTCCTCGTTAACGTAATTTCATTCGTCCCTTCTCTCTACATTTCTTTTTATTTTTATTTTTTTTCCTAAATTTTGTTTTTTTCGTATTTTCGTAATTTCTTCATTTTTTGTCTCTCCCTTTTCTTTCCTTTTTTTATAAATAGGCAAACGTGGCAACCTACAGGAAGGTTTTAATTGGAAATTATATGAATTAAGTTTGGTAATAATTAATACAACGATTTACGAGGAAAAAAAATATATTTTTTGGATATTATTTTGGAGAATGCGTTGAGTTTTAAAGTTAACAAAAAACCAAAAAAAAATGCAGAAACAATAACAAAGAAATGAAAGATAAAAATCACTTGACTTTTTGATGGATTCGCTTGTAAAACGAATGAAAAGGGACGAACAATTGGGAATGTCGTTTAATTTTGTTAATTTAAAATGATAGAAAAAAGCTAATACATATATTAAATGATATATTCTAAAAAAAACACTTACCGAAGCTACAAGACAGTAAGATGGCTATCAGTATTATCTTCATGACGATTATAACTCGTTTATAAAAATGTTTCGAAATTTTGCGTATCGATTTGATCGACTTTTTTAAATAATGATATATAAATGTTATAGAAAAGAACGAAAAAAAGAAAAAGAAGAAGATCAAGAAATAAAATATAATGATGAAGAAAAATTCACTTATTATAATCACTAATTAGACAAAAAAAAAAACGGCGATGCAAAACACAGTTTCAAGATAGGAATGATTCGATTGAAGACGTAACCTCGTGGTTGGTTGAAAATTGACGTTGATATAGTAAGCCGTGGTGGGAGAAATCAAATGATCCCGTTCGATTGGCACGTGGTTGTTCGTGCACTGTCACCTTTTTCTACCCTCCGTTTATTTTATGCCTGAATACAACAGTTCGATCCCCGACTAGCTGTGTCAGTAGGTGTCAATATTTACTTCAACCTTTCTAAATGAAAATCCTCTTTTTACATTAACATATATATAAACATAAGCACATACACACACACAGATACATACACATTACATATATGTATGTATCACACTGCTTCTTCCCTTTTCAAATTTACTTTCCCTCTTGCTTTTATCTTCTCACTTTCCGAAGGGTAGAGAATCCTCGTTTTTTTTACCAAAGAGATGTTTTTAATAGATTTAGTCGAAACAAACGAATAATATAAATTTTTGATTATTATCGTTTTCTATTCAACTTTGACATTTGCTACGTTCTTCTTCTTCTAGCGAAAAAAAACAACAAAAATAACAGATAATCTTTTATCTCTCTCTCTTACTTTTTTTTTGTACATAAAAGAACAAAAATTTATTCAAACATCAATTATAAAAGAGGATGAAATTTTTGGCGGGAATTTAAATAATTAAACGTACGAGATACTTCGCGAGGATGAAAACTTTGAATAGTAGCTTCTTTCACCCCGAATATGAATATGAATAAATAATGCGAATAATAAAGTTCATTATTTGTGGTATACTTAATTTAGAACTATTATTATTATTATTAGGATATATCCGAAAAATAAGTCTGTCGCGAAAGACCTGAGTGTGACGACTGCTTCTATTCGTTCGTTCTCTCAAGCGCGAGGACAGAAGGAAGAGTGCTACTACTTCTTTCCCTTGCCCCTCTCCCAACCTTCCCCATCAGCATCCTCCACCTCATCCACCAACTCGTCGTCGTCGTCGTCGTCGTCCTCCTCCTCCTCCTCCTCTTCTTGTTCTTCCTCTTCTTTCCTCTCTTTTCTCTCTACCGTTCTAACCCAGTCAAACTCCTCTCCGACGATTTTCCTCTCTTCTCTCTTTTCCTCTTGTCCTCTTCGAGTTCATGGAGGAGGATCGTTGATATTTTTGTACATACATACATACATACGAACTTAGTATACTAGAGACCAAACTCGTGAACGTTATCGTTACTTCGAGAGGTATATCAAAGAAAAAGAGAATGAAAGAGAAATTAAACAGACTTTGTATAACTTTCGTTACTTTGAAATCGGTTCGAGTCCATTAATCAATTTAAACATTAAAAGATAAACGAATGAAAAAAAAGGAAAGATAGAAAGAAAGAAAGTGTGATAGAAAAATCGTTTGATCGAAAATCAGGTGTAGTAGCTTTTTTGTCTGAGAACTCGTCGATAATTGTTTTTATCTTAATTCTTCTTGCCGACGTCCTTGTCAAAGTTAACACTGCTAATTCCTGATAAAATACGGCCTCGAGGGGATAGCTGAAAGTTTTATTAATACCTTTATTATTACGATCTACTGCAGACCAGTTATCTTCCAGATGCATTAACATACAAATCATTTCAACTGTGGTAAAAAATTTTTTTTTTAATCTAATTTTTATAAACACAAAAATAGCATCTCAATATGATGAATGATCATACGAATTTTGATATTACTGTTATCGATTATTATAATTAATAATAATTATGGTAATAATTTTCAAATATAAATATACGAAACATATTAAATGAAAATGATATTTGTAAAAGCTCTTAATTGCAAAATAAATTTTTATTTAAGTACCATAATTGCACCTGTTTTATATAAAAATATGAATTACCATAAACATCTGCAGTAGAATTATAATATAATAATTTGCGTTTGACGTCTTTTGAATATGTAAAATATTTAAGCACTTTCGATTGATTATACAGATAACGATAACTATATTATTATCTTCTATAATAATGTGTATACGTATACATATGTATATGCGTTTGTGTCGTGCACAGAGGACAACCCTTTCTGCAATTGGTCATTAGCCCTTGTCTAATGGCACGACCATTAGGAGGATTCGGTCGATGTTCGAATCAAAGAGAGATAACTGGTAGATTCGAAAGCCATAAACGATGATGCTAATCGCTCGACGAGCCGTTAGTAATTAACCTCGTCCTCCGTTTCACATCGCATTATTCGATTAAATCCTATTGTGAGTTATATTCTAATTTCTCGTTTGCAACCAAACTAAAAATATAAGTTGTTTAATTAGATTTACTTCAATTTTTCAAGACTATCATAATTTTATTCATAAATATACAAATGTATACCTGTATCATTTATTCTATGTAAAATAATGTTCACTTTTTTAACTAGTAAAATTATCAAAAATGTTGAAAAATAAATATTAATAGTTTACGATCGGATTTATTGAAACGTGAACTTCCATAAATTCTCTCTCTCGTTTTCATGGTATTTTTATTTATTTATTATTTTTCTTGTTAACGAGTTCCGTTCAATTATTTAAGTTAACATGTAAATAGTAAAAAGAATAAAAAAATATGGAACGATAAATTAATATTTTTGTATATCTTTATCATAAAAATACGATGATGTTTGCAAGATTTATTTTCAAGTTATCTTTCCATCGTAGCAGAATCAACATATATGTATATTCTATCTCATTTTCTGCACATTTGCTATGGGATTTGTTAACGATAGGCTCACGGTATCGATTTTGAAGTGGCCTCAGGGATTTTACTCTTTGGCTCTGGACTTTACGCGAGTTTCTCTATCAATATTGAACTAGAATGATATTAATTACTACGCTTTAGCGAATACTAACAACAAGCCTTTACACTAAATTCATGTTTGTATATATTTATCCGATGATAATGATGACGACTTATTGTTGATTTTGTTACAGGATTGGTCAAAAAATTCTAAATTACAGGTAACCCCCGAAAAACACGATTAATTGGTTCCGTGTTCTTTGAAACTCGTATTCTTCGGGGGTTAATTAAAATGTCATTTAAAAATACCAATTATTTTCTTCTGAAACTTTATAAGTCAATTATTTTTGCTTAAAAAGATTCAAATTGTCACGAGCCTAGGTTTTAATTTAACAATTTAAATTACCTTGTAATTTTTCACCTACCCTGTTATTTGGATATTTCTTACAAGTATTGTCCAACGTAGTTGCTGTAAACGATGTTCTGATATACAGTAGAATATTCAGTATTCAAATTAATAGGAAGACACAACTTTTTTCGTATGAACAAAATTTTCGTATTTCAAAATATTAACAATTTTTGTTGCATTTTGATCATTTTTTAGCTAATAGAGTGGAGTTTTTCATTTCAACATTTGATACTACACATGTATGTAATACACGTTTGATAATATATGTGAGTTTTAAATGCATATGAATTAATTTCATACTAGAACAATAAAATAAATATAATATTTTATTTATACAACCACATGTGTGTGTGTGTGTGTGTGGAGTCGTCAGGGTTGTGAACCATACTTTGAGAAACCTAAAATGAAGGATATGCTGCGTTTTGATTATTTAGTTGGATAGTAGATTATACAACCAGGAAAGTGTATATGCAGTTTTAAGATACTAGATTTTCGTAAACTGAAGATTCCACTGTATATATAAAAGGTGGTTTGGTATTGATCTAATAGTATAAGAGTATTATCAATATTTATTTATTTATTTCACTGATCAATTAATAATCACATAAAGCTGATAAAGTAAAACCCCGTTTCTTTTTTTCCTTTTTTTTTCTCGTTTTCGGTAAATCGAGTTGTTTGTGTGTTTGTAATGTCATATTTACAAGTATATAGCTCTTTTCCATTTGACGAAAGTTCTTTTACAATATTGTGTTTCTCCTTAAACGTTAAATGTATGTATATATACATAAATATATGTATATTATATATATATTATATATTATTATAATATTTATGTATACATATATATATATATATATATATATATGTATATATATATATATATATATATATATACATGTAACGTACGTGTTATCTTCTACAATTGGCGCTCGAAAAGAATTTATGAGAATCGCATAGAAAACATCGAGTTTTCATCAATGATTCTCAGAGTTAATTCAATATTTAAATGTCTATAAATGATTTAATTGAGCTAGAGTTGAGCGCGATCTATTGAAACACATTTTCATCATTTTTTCTTTTATTTTCTTCCGGCGTAAGAAAATGATTATTGTACCCAAAACCCCGTGTGTAATGAAATTTTCTCCAGAAAAAATATATATATATATAAAGAAAGGAAAAGAATAATAATTACACAAAAAACGAAAAGAAATACTCTAGTTAACAATAAATTATTAAATATCTATTCACAGGTGGTATGTATAGGCTAATCGTTATTACTATCAACGTTTTAACGTAATCCTCTTTCTATCTTTTTTTTTTATCTTTCTCTCGCTGCTTTATCATTCATCAGCTACTAACGTCATTTACGACTATCGTTACATAAGACACACGTACGCACGTAATTACCCACACACGTACAGCACCAGGACTTTTTTTAATTTACAGCACATTTGCTCGTTTTCCTTATCATATCTTTTTATTTATTTTTTTTTCTTAAATGAATAAGAATCTTATTTGGAAGCACGACGACGATAACAACGACGACAACCGATGTAATATAAATGATAAATGAGATTTTATTATAAATATTAGTTTCTCTTTTTATCTACGGCAGCGAGGTAACTTTACGTCGTCTTGTTTCCAAAGATCTTGTTTTCAAGTCGTTTTCTTTTATAATGACACTTTTATATTTTATTATATTTTATATATCTTCTTCGTCCTTCCTCTTCCTTTTTTTCGGCCGTCTGTGTTTTATTTTATTTTTTATTTTTCTTTTTTTTTTTAAATTTCGTCCTTTCATGCACAGCAGTGAGTATTTTTCGTGGATGTGCGCATGAGTATGTATCCGGCGTCATGTGGAATAACGTTTGAAAAGTTTAGATTTTTTTTAATTTTTTTTTTTTCAAACGTCATTCCAATGTAAAAAGCTACAAGTTATAATCTGTTTTTTTTTTTTTATATGTGTAATTACATTAAGTAACTTTTCGGCCGTTTTAATTGATTGTATCGAAGTTTCAATCGCTTAAGAATATTTCATCCTTATTCTTTTTTTTTTTTTTCGTTTTTTCGTCGCCATACACACACATGTATTTATATATATATATATAATATATAAATTCTAAGTCAGCGAAGACACGTCGTGAAGCTAGAAGATAATACAAAATAAGACAAAAATATTCAATAACAAGAAATAAACAAAAATCGAAACAGAAAGAAAATATGCATTCAAATATGTAGAATTAAAAATCTTTATTTGATCGATTTGAAAAATTATATATTCGATTATGTTTAAAATGTTTACCAAATGATATTAATTAATTTTAATAGTTTTAGCTTCAACGTACGTGCATTTTAACTCGCTGTAATTTTGTTGTTGTTGTTCTTCTCCTTTTTTTTTTTTTTTCTTTCAATATTTCCTTCGTTGCAAATACTATACACAACAAATAGCGCATTTTTAATCTACGATAGATTAACTAACATTATAACATTTCGGTGTACAGAATAATGACTTTCTTATTTCATTTTTATTTGTTTGTTTGTTAGTTTATCTGTTTGTTTGTCTCACTGTGTTTTTATCTTCATTTTGTTTTTTCTTTTTTTGTTTAGTTTAAATCTTTATATATACACCTATATTTTTATTACAACGCAACACTATTTGTCGTCGCTAATTATTATCGTTTTTAAACGTGCTACGATTTTTTCTGCTTTTGCATTTCATTAATTTGTTTATTCCTTTTTTTTTACTTACTTTTCTTTTTTCTTCTTCTTCTTTGTTTTCTTTTTTTTTTTTTTTTTTAGTTATTTGTAGCGTGTTTTCTCATTCATTTACGTTTTTATTTAATTTCATGTCTTGTTTCACACTCGTACTTCAAAAGCAAACATAGCAACAGGCACACATTTATTTTCTCTCTCTCTCTCTCTCTCATTCTTTTTTCTATTTCTTTCTCTTGTAGTTTGATTTTATAGAAAAAAAAAATCCGAAAGAAGATAAGAAAGTTATTACGTACGGCAATCACACAGTAGAGTTTTTAGAAAAATGGAGGGGAGAGAATCTTATGCGAGAGGATACGAGGTATGACCATGAACTCTGTTGATTCGGATATTATCATTATTATTATCAATTATCATTATCATTAGATTTATCAATATTATTCTTATTCTTATTAATATTATTATTATTATTCTTATTATTATTAATTATTATTATTATTATTATTAATATTATCAAACGGAGATTAAAAAATGTGATTTCCAATGATAGAAAAACGTACGAAGTGTGACATTTGCTATCTAGTTTTGATTGGTTGACAATTTAACTTTATTTTTCTTCCTCATTTATTCTTTTTTTAATATTTCTCTTTTCCTTTTTTTTTCTTGTTACTAGGTCTTTTCATAAATAGTTAAATTCGTTAACAGTTTGTGTTCGTAAATAAATGATTTTTTTCTTTTCCACAATCTAAATTATTCCGACCATCCGATCAAGTTATTTTGTTTGTTCGTATTAGATTTTACGTATGCGTGTTAAATAATTTTAATCACAAAGAATAAAAAATTCCAATTTATTGAAACATAAATTGGAATAAGTACTTTTAAATATTCGAATAGAGTTGCATGATACTTGAAAAATAAATTGATTTTTTTTTTTATACGCGAGTATTAAAACATATTTACGAAGGATATTTATACACGTATATAAATTTGTATTAAGGTATTCGCGATGTTTATTTTTCAATCTATTCGAATATTCTCAAGTAATTACCGTTAATTTTGTTAAACATACAAAATCACATACAAAAAACATACACTTCGTCTAATCATAGAAAATATATAACAACGATATTTTGTTGTAATCTAAAACAATTTAGATTTATGGTTATTATTTATCTTCCATTTATTCTTACCTTTATTTTAAATCTTTTTTTTCTGTCAATTATTAAAAAGAAAAATAAAAAACACGTGTTCTTGTCTATCTGTCTCTATCTCGATTAATTTATCCTACCATTCTCTCCCTCTCTTTCTATCATTTTCTCACAATCATCATTCAAACCTCCCACATGTTTCCTATATGCTATTTACAAACGTGATCATTTTTGTTTGTTTGTTTGTTTGTTTGTTTAAATAACGTTAGCTTTATTTTTAATTTTCTTTTTTTCTCTCGCTCTCATACGTACATCATAAACAATCTTACTTTCTCGCTTTCGTTCTTTCATTTAGCTAAAATATTTGTGAATTATATTTTATATGTATATTGTAATAATATCGAGTGTGTTTGTGTGTGTATGTGTATAATTCGCACTTCTCTATCTCCCTTTCTGTCTCTCTCTCTCTCTCTCTCTTTCTCTCTTGTTGTTAGAACTATGACCGATCACATGAACATTTTCATTTCGAAAGCAGAAAGACGAGTTTCTTATCTCCCTTTCTCTTTCATTTTTTCCTCTTGCATTTTATATTTTATTGCAGATTCATTTTGATCGGTTCGTCATCTTTGTTGAATGAGTCGAGATCCGAGTTTATAAGGGGGGAGATGGCCGATAGAGAGGATTTCCTCTTATGGGAAGTACGTGAGCTTCCGAATTGAACACCCAATCGTTTAGATTAATGAGATCGTCGTCGCTGAATAAAAGGTAGAGGTACTGTAACAGATAAACAAACAAATAATTAAGACAATAATAAATACAAAAAAATATAAATCATTTTTTTTATGGTAATTTATTTTTATCCTATCAAATAGGGTCGCTGTAATCCACGATTAAAAATAAAAAAAAATAAAATGTTACATAAACGAAGGGTCGTAAATTGTGTATAAAAAAAAAATTTACAACAAAGATATTAATATTATAGATCATTAGTTTTTTATTCGATTTTGTATAGAAATATTGGTGATATTTTACTAGAGATCATTGTAATCAAGCATGTTTTTCTGTACGTGTATTGAGTTATTTATAATTTTGTTACGTTTTTGTAATAATTTGATATAAAAATAATTGTTGATCCTGCTACTAATAAAAAATACGTTTTTTATTTATACTCTTTGAACAAATTGAAAGATTGAATTGTAAGTAGAACGATTTCGCTTAGTGAGTTTGAAAGTTTTTTAAGAGTTATATTAACTTATCTCGAATATGTGACGTATAAATTATGCATATATATATATTATATATGAAGGCTTTCAAAATATTTCGAACGTCATCTTCAGCAGTTACCGATTATAGTTGACTTTTTACCGGCAGTCGGCTTTGGAAATGTTTATAAGAAAGAAGAGAAAAAAAACGACTATAAGTTGGTCCTCCTTATATCGGCGTTTAATCTTTAAACGAGGTAGTAGGACAAACAAGTGGTTTCCATTTGCACGACTTTTTCTTTTTTTCTCTTTCTCTTTCTCTTTCTCTTTCTCTTTCTCTTTCTCTTTCTCTTTCTCTTTCTTTTTGGCAATTCCTCTTTCATTAAAGTTCTTCTTTAGTTTCGTACTATTTCGATCGTAAAACCGAAAATAATTTCGAATCTAGATATCGTTTTATTGGTCTATAAAATTTGTACAACTTTAAATAAACAACTTTGAAAATTCAGAGAGAGAGAAAGAGAGATAGAGAGAGAGAGAGAGAGAGAGAGAGAGAGAGAGAGAGAGAGAGGAAATATTATAAAAATAACGTCATAAGAACCTTTCAAACAAAAATTTTTCGTGTAAAGTTTTCATTCATTTATTTATAGTTAAGAAAGCAAAAAAATGTATATTCGTTTTCTAATTTGTTAACGATAAAAATAATGAAAAGTTCAATAATAAGAAAATCACATCGAGTATATATAGAAATGACAATTAAACGTATTGAATTGGATTAAATTGATTGTAAATAAATAATAAGTGATAAGTTGTATTGGTAATAAATTTACCTTTAACGTTTCAGCGAAGAAGTAACTCTGTTGAACGTCATCTTTGGGAGAGTTGGCTAAGTAAACATTGTGAAGTCCTGTGAATCCTCCCGGGACTCGACAATGTTTTTCTAATGCTTGAACGGCTTCCCAGCCCCATTCACGATATTTTGGATCTTTTGTCAATCGCCACATAACGAAATATGATTCGAATGTCTGAAAACGATGAAAGGGTTTGCAAAAGTCACACAACATTTTATTTCGATAACACACGTCGAGTGTTTACAGAATCTTAAAAAGTTTGATGCTCAGAAAACTTCAACTTTGTTTCCTCGAAAAAAAAGCAGAAGAAGAATGATCGATTAAAAAAAAAAAAAGGTAATAAAAAGTAAAATTTAATGGGATTGATATATTTTTGGTTTGTATTTTATTGTACAAAAAAAAAAAAAAGAAAAAAAAAGAAAGAAAGAAATGTATTCACCTCAGGTCGTAGAATATAATATTTTTCGCCTGTCTTCAAACTCCTTGCCTCGTTTCCTTCGATAAAATGAAAAGCTTCTGGACCAAGTTTCGTTACACTTCTGTCGTAGGATTCGTGACAGGTGTTGGTCAAGCCTGCGGCTATGTTCATGTACTTATCCGACTCGTCGTTCTGTAACGTTTTTGCTCCCAATGCGAACATGCCACCTGTCGAGTATAATATAGCTTTCTTAAGTATATGTATAAAAAAAGAAAAAAAAGAGAAAGAAGGTCAAAAATAAAAGGAATCAAAATTTCAATTAAATTCAACTTACCGGCGAAACAAGCCAAGTGACCCATTTTGTGTTCAGGTCTGTCATATTTCAAATCCGATACATAAAGTAATTTACCGGGTGACGTCTTGATCATGTGTTCGCTTATAGCATCGATTGCCTCGTCGTACATTTCACGAGCTTCAGTATCGGCTTTTCCTGATTGGATCCAAGCTTTTAAAAGATACTCGTAAAAACTATCACCTAATCCTCCTAGCGACATATGATCTGAAATTATAACATATTATTAAATAAATATTCATTTCGATAAGATCAATTTTCTATTGAAATTGTTCTATCACGAGCGCAATTTTTCTTCTCTCATTCTTTTTCTATGCACGTATAAATGTATATTCCTTCTTAAAAAGATATCAAATATATCATGAATGGATCACACGAGATTCGATGTTCAAACCATTTGAATCGTTTTATAGAAAGCATGAAATTCCATTTCCAGTGAAAACCATGTCCTTTCTACTCCTACCTACGAGTGATCGAAATTTGCATTTATAGAAGTACCCATAACATTACTTTTTATATGCTCCATCAACGGCTATGGGTAATTCAACAGAATTCTCTAACTTTACTTCCTTTTGTTTTGTGTTTCTATCTTCCATATAGGCGAAAAATTCGTTGAAGAACATTCACAAAGTAACTTATAAAATTAAAAAGTCATTTTTAGCACTTTTCTTGATTAAATTTTTGATTCTCTACGAAAAACTAATCGATTTTTATATGAAATTATTTAAACATTGTGTTAGGCTCAAAACTTTTTATCCTATATATTATACTTATTGTTAACTAATATTCATACAAATTACAAACTATATTATAATTCGTATTATTATTTAATAGTTCGTAATATGATTTGATATAATTTATAATTGAATGTTACAATTGACAGTTTCAAAATTTGTCAGATTTGAACGATAGATTGGAAAAAAAAAAATAATAAAAATTCTGATTAGAAAGAAGAATTGTAACTTGTTTCTATTAATTAATCTTATTAAGAATTATATGTCTCAAATAAACATATGGGACGAGTCATACGTGAATCATCAAAGGAAAGAAGAAGCATTTCCGGAACTCGTAGAAGTAGTCGTTTTCAAGCGGCCGAGCAACGAATTCAAATGAAATTCTCAGAGCATGGTTGTGAAAAATGTACGATGGTTTGGAAAAAAGCCAAAGTCGAATACAACTTTGCTAACCACTAAAGACGTTTTCCTTTCTTTTTAGCTTGGAAAAGTAACTTTCTTTTTTTATCTACACAAATGTGGGGGCTACAAATTTTGAATATTTTATTTTAAAAAGAAAAAATAATAAGATAAATGAGATAGAGGAATAGGAAATGAAGAAAGACAAATGGATGCTTCATTTTATTTTGATAACGCGAAATAATTCATTCAGGAGAATAATTATTCATAGTATCGTTAGTAAAATCACACGTCGTCGTTCGAAAGAAAAATCGTAGTGGTGGTGGTGGTGTGCCACATAAGTCGTATACTCGAAGTAAACGTCTACGAAAAAGAAGAAAAAGAAAAAAAAAAAGGTCGTTTTAAGAATGATCTATGTAGGTTTGAGAAGATCGTTGAAGCCGACGTACGATGTTACCAAAGTAGCAAGAAAAATAGGAATCCTTCTTCTTCGGTGAGTACGAATGAAAAAGAAGAGGGGTACTTTTGATAAATGTGATATTCAACTTCTTCGAAATGTGATGTCATGTTTGAACTAACGTCAAGGGTTGCAAAGAAAAAACAAAAAAAAAAAATAGAAAAAAGAAAAAACAAAATTATTACAATTCTTTTCACGAATGTTCGTTGAATAATAAAAAATGACAAAAAAAAAAAAACAATGGACTTTTTATGTTCACGAATTTCAAAACAAAAGGTTAAAAAAAAATAATAGGTGATGTTTTTGCTTTAACTTGTGATGTCATGGCTGAAGTAACGTGAAATGTTAAAAGGAAGAGTTAAAACGAAATTATTTAAATTCTTTTCGCGAACGTTTTGTGAAACATTGAAAATGCACAAAAAACGACTTCATATGGTTATAAATGTATGAACGATCATAAATAAATAAAATAAAATAAATTATTGCCATACAGAAGTAAGACAAGGATAGTAAAGTTTTTGATAGTAAACTTACGTTGACCCCATTTTCCAGTTCTCGGATGAATGTAATTTGGATAGAGACCCTTTGGCTTTTCGAGGTTTTTCAGCACCTTCCTCACGTTCTCGACTTTGGTCTTGAAGATGGGATTCCCGGTAATGTCACTCAGGTAAGTGAATTCCAAATGCATCGTTCCGATCTCCGACAAAATGCTGCATCCGCTACTTGCCCAACCATAATTTTTGCTGGCCTATAAAATAAATATACTTTATTTAACGAACCATACGATAGAATTGAAAGGTTATTTAAGAAAACTTATTACACAAAGTTAACACAAGGAAAAGGAAGAAAAAAAGGAGAAAAGTAATCAGAAGGAAGGAAAATTAGTGGAACAACCCCTTTCGAAAACACGAAAATGTGAAGGAGGTAAGAAAGGGACCGACCTTATCGACACTTACTCTTTCAACCCTTTTCTTCCCAACTCTCCTCACCCATTTAGGCATCATCATTATCCGTTCTAATTAAGAATTTGCATATTAATCGCGAGCCGGCACTTCGGAGGACGTGACTCGACGAAAATCGTTTCAATTAAACTGCCCGTACCACGTAAGAAAAAAGAAAGGCCCATGGTATCGGTGGTGTTGGTTGTTCGGTGCAGAATCTTTCGCGAACTCACCAAGATTTTTTGCGATTCTAAACCGAGCGTGCGCGCCGCGCATAAAGAAATGAAAGGGTGTGAGAGAGAAAGAGAGAAAATAGAAAAAGAAAAGGGTAGAGAGTTCTTTTGTCCTCACCGAAACGAGATCACCGAGGCGTTCTCTGATTTATCAATTAAGTTAACCTGATTTTATAACGGCTCGTTCCTTTTTATTATCTTTCATCGTTTGTGAGATACGAATCAATTTTGATATACTTTTTAGCATTATTAAATATAACAATAAATGTAATAATAAAGATTTAACACAATGAAAATTTATGAAAAAAAAAATTATTACAATAACAATAATTTACTATAATTATGAGTCAAAAGAAATTATCGTTAAAATTAGATTATCTTTCATTTAATTCATTCATTTGTAATTAAAATTAGGGAGTTAGAAGTATTAAAAAAAAAAAAAAAAAAAGAAAAGAAGAAGAGAAAGAAGAAGAAGAAGAAGAAGGGAATAAAAGGGAAAGCGAATAACCAAAAAGAATAGATAATGCGAATTAGGGTGTAAATTCAGGATGGTGAACGTGACGGGCAAAGAAAATTACGCGGCAGATTTGGCAGAGGTCTTAGTGGATACCAACGAAAAGCGTTACTTACACCGGTGTGGAGGTTGATGAGGGAATGAGGAATTCCGGTATCCGTTTGGAAGGCTGGTAACATCCGTTCACCGAGCTGGGCTGCCTTATCCCGGAACATTACGTCTCCCGTGAGAGCGTAACAGGCCAAAAGACTTCCCATAAAACGAATGTTCGTCTCGAATAACGATATCTCTGAGTTCTGGAAAAAAGAGAAAAAGAAACCAGATTATATTTCAGATTAGATGTTAAGAAAAAAAAAAAAAAAGAAAAAAGTAACAAGAAAAATAGAAAAGAAATAAACAAGATGAATTTGTAACGATTGAACATAGTCATGTGTAAGTGTGTGTATATCTTCTATCAATTAAATTAAATTTGAAAATAACACACACACAAAATTAAAAGAAAGCTAGTAAATCGTCAAACTAGTTTTTTTTCTTTTTTTTTTTTTTTAAATAGTTAGACTTATTAATTAATTAATTAATTATAATTATCGATTTTCTTTGATGTAAAACTTTAAATAGAAAGTTAAACGTTAAGAATAACTCGAAAGTGACTTTGAATCGATGAAACGGTGATTGACTATGAAGTTTCTTCTTAACAAGTAAGAATAAGAGAAGGGATGTAATTTCTAAAAGAAAGAGAAAGAGAAAGAGAGAAAAAGAAAAAGTAAAACAAGAAGAAAAAGGTCGATTAGATTTGCTCCCGAAAGAAAACTTTATCGGCTCGCTAGTTGGCACGCTCTGCAAACTGGCGAAGCGGTCTACCCTTTGTGGTCTTGCAATCACGTTAATAGGGTGCTTTCCTTGAAAGTATCAAGGCTGTGTTACTAATCGTGCTCAAGTACCGCTTATTATTTCGATACCGTTTCTTTTTTATTTACTTTTTTTTCCTTTCTTTTACATTTTTTTCGTTTTCATTTTTAATTATTTTTAACGTCAATCTTTCTTTTTTTTTCGTATTATTTTTTTTTTAAGTACTCGTACACGTTCTTTGATTATGTTTCTTTTTCTTTTTCTTACTTTTATTACTATTATTATTACAGTAATAATAATAAATGTTTGCATTAAATATATTAAAAGTACAATGTTAATTTGTTACTTAACTACTTTGATGTATAATTGGAGTAGTTTAACGAAACGTTTGGTTAAGTGAGTATAATAAATTTTATCTCTTATTTTATCTATCTATCTTTCCATATATATTTATTTCTCGATCTATCTTTTTATCTATATATATATATCTATCTATCCTTGTCTATCTTCTCTCACCTTCGGTATTCTCTTCGTTAAGTATGCGTTTACAGTGCATTGTTTTACGACGGGGCTCTTTCTTCCCTCATTCACTCATTAGTCAACGACGTTTCTCTCTCGCGTGAAAATTATTTTACTCCCTCATCCACAGCCTCTTTTTCTTCGAGTTTTAATATTAATCCCGAAGAAGAGCCAAGACTTTTATCGCTTTTCTTAATTAATTTTAGTTATTCGCGTTACTTGATTTTCTTACTCGTTTTATCTTTAAAAATCTTATATATTTATGTGTCTCCTTTTTTTCTTTATCATCCTAATAGTTTGATCGCAATTTATATTTATCTAGTATTTAATTCGATAAGAATTCTATTCCATTAGTATCTAATTGCTATAATTAATAATTAATAATTCTATAGCAACTATTAACAAATAACAATTAGTTGTCAACAAATATAGTTTAAGTTTTTTTCGAAATACAAAAATCAATTATCAGTTAAAATTATCGTATTTATAATCAATAACTGAGATTAAGCTATAATTTAATATATATATATATTTGTTGCAATTACAATATTTCCTACACGTAATTGAATAATTTTTACAGTGTTAGCATTTATTGACCGGTAGTTAACCAAAAATCGGCTCTACATACCTAAACGTAATTATTCAACATTAAATATTTTATTTCTTTCTTAGTTATTTAATTTTTATAATATTAGTTCTGCAAACATATGAACACAAAATCTTAATTAACTTTGTAGAGAAAAGAACTATTCGATTTTGTTGAATCAATTTAATGTCCAATTATCGAATGATTTAAAACCTTTGATTATTATTAAAGACGTACATATGCGTCATATCATAATCATCAATATATACGAAAAGCGAAGATATACGGCTAACAAAATTTACGATTGAAAAGCATTTTTCAATCTCGTTTATATCAATGGCTCTGAATTTGAATGCGCCGCAGTTAAAGGGTTAAAACGTGCACTCAACGTAAGGTCCAAAGCAACGTCATTAAAACGACACGACGAGTTGACGACGATGAAGGATCCTTTGGACATCGGATTACTTTTCAGTTTCTCGTTAAGTCGAGCTATGGTTTCTCGATGTTACGCATATGTCGTTCCAGGGAACCCTTTGAACATATGTGAATTTGTGAATTTTTATTCCTATTAGTTTACTTTTTCATCTCAACAACTCTTTTTCTATTTTTCCCTAATAAGTTTCGTTAATCGTCCAATTTTGCAGTCTATTCGATTAAATAATAAAAAAAAAAAAAAAACTCAAAATTATAAAAAACAAAACAAAAAATGACAGACGTGACGGATAAATTACTCGAGAAGATTATCTTTTAAAATTCTATAAAAATAAAAGTATCTTCTCTTTGTTTTATCTTGGATGATAATAAAAGGGCCACCAAGGAAGAAGGGCCACCAAAGAAGAAAGGCCACCTTTTCCTTGAGGAAGATTTTACGAATATCCTGGTGTCAATTGCAATGCAACAAGTGTGTCGATTGAAGCTGTCGCTGCTAAAACGTGCGACAAGCTGACCGTAAATAAACATCAAGGACGATAAGCACGGATGCTAATTAGAGGTAAGCGTGATAATGTAGCGAATCGGGTCATCGATCTCATGTCCGGACCACGACCGGCCCGTATCGGAACGTTTGTTTAAACTCACACGTTCGAAATTGTTTGCGAAATTCTAACTATTTCAAGTTCCTTTTTCTTTTTTTTTTTTTTTATTAACGAGTCAATCATTTTATTATACATAAGTTTATGCAACAATACTCATAGATATTTTCTTTTATTTTTATTTATTTGATTATTTTTTTCAATGACGGTGGAATTCGTTAATTTGTTCGTTTTAAACATAAGGAAAAAAAAGAAAAATTTAATATTTTTTGTTGCTTTTATCTACTTGAAATTTTTAGTGTTTGATTTGCTTTATATACGAGACTTTCTTTTTGTTTAAATTATTTTCATTGATTTGAGTATATTTCAAAATCTTGGATAATTGTTTTTCTAGATTAGTTTTTTTCTTTGTTGAGATGATATATTTTTTTTTGCTAATTCGAAAAAATGTTTAATAGATTATTGTATTATACTATAGTATGTGATTATTAATGTAATTTTTAAATAATTCTTATTTATTTCTCTAAGATAGTTTATGATATCGGCAATATTATGTTCAGCTAGAGTTTTTCTTCTATGAGGAAATACTTAAAATGTATATGTACTTTGATAAATGTTTAGAGAAGATATTCCCACGAGGTCTGTGTCCTATAATACGCTTCAACGATTTTCGTAACGATCACTTCAACTATTCTTTGACATAAGAAATGAAAGAAAGAGAGAGAGAGAGAAAGAAAGAGAAAAAGAGAAAAAAAGATAAAAGAAACAAACTTTATCGTAGTTGTTATGAAAATTACACTTGAAGGTGTCGAAGTATAAATAATTTACAACTGTTAACTGTATTCGATGAATATACTCATCATAAAGAGATGACAATTCTATGTATTGCCAATATTTGTGTGTGTTCGAAATATTACATATTACAAAGTAATTACAAATAAAAGTTGTAATAATTATTAATCCAGTCACACAGACGTTATTGCTTTTTTAGAATGAATGAAAATAAAGAAGAAATTCGATATATATTTTTAAATTTTACTACCAAAAATGGGAAGAACAAAACAAAAGTTGATAAAATTAGTTCATAAAAAGCGATAAAACTTTATACCCGAGTTAATATTATATTATATTTATATATTGCAATATACGTATTATAGTTAAAGCAATAATTATATAGAATAATAATAAATATATTATATTAATGATATAATATTATTTTATATACATATTGATAAGAAACAGAGAACAACGAATGATGCAATGTAAAATAATGATGAAATTATAAAAACTATTTTTTTTCTATTGTATAATTTAACATATTTCATTTATAATTTGATACATTTCGATAAGAAAGTAAACAACAGATGATGCAATATGAAATGATGATGAAATTTCAACGACAAGTCAAGGAATCCTTTGAATATTCAATTTCTATTTGTTTTTCTCTCTCTCTCTCTCACTAAAATATAGATTATGTATTCTAAGGTAACATAACGTCATCATTGAAATTCGCTCGAAGCATCCCCTAAACAGTGAGCAAGTACATGCGAGTCGATCGTCTAGTCTTTCTCAAAGGTAAGAGAGGATAAACTCTTGAAATGTCGAGGATACACTGGTGCTTTCAGTCGCAAAGGATACAACGGCCACCGCAGGACAAAACCACTGGACTCTCTCTCTCTCGGAGAGTACCACAACGTGCCGTAGGTCGTTCTTTTCGAACTCGAGTATCCTTCTACTCTCTTAACAAATGAGTGAGAAGGACAAAGATACGCAAAGATAAAGAGAGAAAGATGAAGAAAGAGAAAGAGAAAGAGAAAGAGAAGCTCTTAAAAGAGTGGTTTCACTCAAGCGCTTATAAAATAACGTTGAGAACAAAAAAGGGGGTTGGAAAGTGAGTTACCTTAAACGTTTGGTCTGTCCTTTTCTACTCGGGAAAACGAGAGGCCAACGCTTTGTTTAATCAAATATGACGTTTAATGGAACCTCCTGCGAATAAGCTGCTTTACGATCTATCTCTATCTCTATTTCTATCTCTTTCTCTTTAGCATTACCAAAATGGGCCATTTATAATGTATTCTAGCCGTGGCATAATCGTTCTCCTTCCAAAATTACCTCGTCCGTACCGTTCAAACGTTATACACGAATTATTTAGATTAAATGGAATATACATCTTTAGGTTAAATATTGACAACTATTGGTAAATTTGAATTTCATTAGAAGTGGTATTATTTAATCGTGTTTTAATATTATTCAAATATAATTAAAAATAAAATGTGATAAGCTTACACATATTTATTTCTTGTATTTTATA